AACACAAAAATTTCAAGTGCCATAAAGTTAATGCCTTTTAAATCCTAAATAATTGATAAGGCACTTGAACATAATAATCTTCAGTTTGAGTACTGCAACTGCTGAACCAAAGACGAAATGAAAAATATGTCTAAGAGTACCTAAAAGGTGCAAAGTTTCGTAATTTATAAAATAAAATGAAAAAAAAATATTATAGAAAAAAAATTTAATTAATCACTTAATTATTTTTTAAACCAGCGGCTTTTTTTACTTAGAATTTAATCCCCACTAAATCGTTGCTAATGCTTTTATTGCCAATTACAATCAATAAATTTGGCCAAATATGCAATGATAAGATTTTGGGGCTTTAAGGTTAATTATTTTATTTGAATAATTTAAAGGAATTTATTACAATGATTTTTAAAAATTATTTCGTAAAAGAAAAGCACGGCGTATTTAAATTTTGGAAAGTGAAATGGTCGTACTCATAATGATGATGTCAGTAGGATTTGAATACAATAAATAAAGTTGAAATGGGGATATTCTCTTCTAAACGAAGATGAGTTACATATAGTTTTTGTTCTTTAATCGATAATAATAAAATTAATAAATTCTTGTAAGTACGTAAAAGAAGAAATAAAATTTATTTATTATTATATTCAAGCTAATTGAGCCACTTTTACTGTTTCTAAACTCGAGGTATTTTTTAAAAACCCTTACTTTGAAAAGTCTTGTCAGAGTCTTCCCCAGAGGTTTTCTCCAATTTCTAGCAGGGTTCACTTATTAATATACTAATTACTTTTATTTACAAATTTTCTAAGTCGGGAAAAAGTTTCATATCTTGACAGTATTCTTAGTAAATAGTAGCATCTACTACTATGCTATAGTACGCAATAATACTTTTTTTTTGGATTCCTATTACTACTACTCTTATATACTTCCCCTAGTGTGACATAGAGCCTCAAGAATTCTTCTGAATCTGACTCTTCTATGTGATGCTTTTATGTGGATGTCGTTCCATGTATATCGTGCTACAGGTAGCTCACTTTCGATAGTTCTTTTCCATGTTTTCGCTGGTACACCAGGTCTTTTGCTACCTTGTGGATTGCATGCTAATGCTTGCCTTGCTATGTAATCTCTCGGTTGTCTAAGAATATGGCCTATCACTTTCTATTACTTTTTATTGTCACTTTCTTATTTTTATATCAATTTGTAGTTCTTTTTCGTTTTTTTTTTTTTTTGGATTCTTAGGCTGATACTATTGTATTTAGTATGATAGTATGATGGTGCCCAAATAGAAAAAAATTCTTTTACATCTTCCAAAGTATAATCCAGTTCCAATGATCAGTTCTGAGTTCGAACGTCGTACATTTCTGTCAATAGCCGCAATTATTATCTTTAACCCTGAACCTATCTTTTCATATTATGGCTTATTGATGGAATTTTAAGACAATTACATTCAATGTAAGTAGTTCGAAGAAACTTTCTATCCATTTTATTTTATGTATATATTGTATTTATAACTCAAATACTCAAATTAGTCAGTGAGATGGGCGGGACTCTGTAGAATCCCCCTCAGCTATCATAGAGTAAAAGTGCCCAGATGCACTAACTCGGAAAAGGCTTAACATATACATATGTAAATCAATTCTAAGATATTTTATAGAATTTTTTTAGGGACAGCTGATGCATTTACTACAACAGCAGGACAGTGTTGTAAGATCAGCAAAATAATATAAACAGATTCTTCTAATTCGTTCTTTTTTATGCTTATTAATTTGTTTTTAATGCAATTTGTTTTTAATGCAATTTTAATGAAATTCCATACTACCTAATAAAAACACTCTATTTGAAAATAGTTTTAATATTGCTTATATATTATATAGTAAGATATTTTATTCAGAAAGTTATTACTAGGGCTTATTTGAAATTTAATTTTATTTGCAAAAAAGTTCAATTAAAAGTTAAATTAATTTAATAGCATTAAGATTTTCCATGGTCATGTATTAATTTAAGTGAAGTGGCGCAGTTAGACTTTTCATCGTTTTTGATGTTTGTAATTTACCCTTGTAAATATGAAGTTACCTTCATTGAAATAATTTTATTTTATCTAACATGTACTCGCATGTGCTCTAAGCAAATTCAAACAAAATTAATTATCTCTAATGATTTTAAACAAATTTTAATTTATTTAACACACACTCATTGCTGCTAGCGAGAAAAGCAAATAAATTCATTAACATTCAGTGCCCTATAAAAATTTCTAGCATTTTCAAAATTTCTAAATTTCAAAAATTTAATTATTTAAATTATATATTACATATGCGCTCAACGCCCACGTACTCATTAAATAATTTTATATGCACATATTTTATGGAAATTGTAAAATTTCTTATCAAGTAGCGAATTTATACTCACGTAAAAGTGCCTGAAACTGAAGATTGTGGCAACTGCGGTCAGAGCTTCCAGTACGCAAAATTACTAATTGAAAAATTGAGATACTTGCTTAAAATTCTACTCAGATACTCGTACTTTATCGAATGATGCGCGATAATTCACATGGAATAGTATGAGCATATCAAGACGACTAACGTATGAGTATTTTTAATGGCATAAGTGAAAAGATAATGCCACATAAATCCAAATAAACAAATCTTTTGAAGCTTGTTTGTTTTAACGCTTCCACGCTGTGAAGATAAATTGTGAAAAATTATGTACACAGATAAAGTATGTTTCTGTGATATGCGATGTACTCATATCTATAACCGAATTAGCTATAAATTGTTAGTGCTGTCATGAGCTGAGATTCTATAAAAAAATGTTTAATAAATTGCTTGTGCTAGATATACACTGCATTGTATATAGAAAAAGTATATAAAAAATGTTATATATTTTAAAATTTGTTTTTTTTTTTGTTTTTTTTTTGTGATAAAAAATATTTTAAAGTCACTTTAGAATTTATTTTATAAATTTTGCAAACATTTTAAGCTATTAATTTTCATTACTATAATTGCTATAACATTTACTTCAAGGTTTTCAAAGTCACTTTTTTGTAATATTCTTGATAATAATACCATAT